AACAGCCAGTGGGTCAGGTCCGGTCCGGGGTCGACCTGACCTATTTCCACCCGTTTTGGAAGGGAAAGGGCTGTCTGTAAAATTGAAATCTTGAGCTCCCTCCTTTAAAGCCATAAAGACGGCATATTTCTACAGCAATAAAACATCCAATTACTTCCGCAAAATTCATTCTAGGAGTAAAACATCCAATTACTCCCGCAAAATTCATTCTAGGAGTATTTTCAGGACCCTCAATTTTGAGAATGTAACCTCTTCCTAGAGGTGCGTGGAAAGTGAATTACTATTCTATCCCTATAGTTTGTGTTTCGTACCTGTTTGTTTTTGGTCAGTTAAACAAGCACAATGTCTATAGTGGATGCCTTTGGACTTGTTTCTTTTTGGTGAGTTAAACAAGGACAATGTCTATAGTGGATGCCTTCGGACTTGGAATGGTTGGGTTCTTCCCCTCTTTTTCTCTCCTTCTTCTCTCTATTTCTAGACACAACCAGCCAAATATCGAAGTGGTTGCCAAAAAAGTTGTTATTTAAGGATGCAAATGGTGGAAAGGTACAAAAGAAGTTCACGAATATTCAAATGGTTAATGTTTGCTTGGAAAGCCACTACGCAACGTTAATGGGCGAAAATGAACAATATTTTTTTCCATTGGCTCAACACTGTCCAATCTTTTTGTATTTTTCAAACGGCATGAATTAAATTGCAACGGATCTACTGTGTTCGTTGCGGTACTGCAACAAACATAATAGGTCCGTTGGGATTAATTTTCACACAAAAAACACGGAATTCTGCCATGGCTCTTGTAGAGTTGTTTCGATCTTTCAGGCAAAAGCACAACGGGTCAAAATACTATTCAAATTCACCCATATGCATTTTTATGACTTTTCCATTTGCTTGATATATAAGGAAGATGAAGAGAATGGAGAACATCTTTCTCTATATTGTCCTTTCACAACAGCCATTTGGGAATGGGTTTTCAAGATCATAGGAGTTTAGATGATATTGTCGAGAGGAGATATAGATATTTTGATGAACATGGAGTTTGCCTAACCATGATCGGATGGTCCGTAAGATTTTAAGAGCATTTGTTTTATGGGAAGTTTGAAAGGAAACGGATAGGAGAACCTTCGAAGGAATGCTACTCAATTTGTAGGATGCGAAAGATAGAGTTATAAATAACATGATTATTAAATAGGAAACCCATGATTAATAGCGCTTCATTGCGCCTTAAACTGAAGGGGAGGTGACATCTGCCTTTGGATGGTTGCATCAAGCTGAATTCTGATTGATAGCAGTTCTTTCAGAAATCCTTGTTTCTCCAGAATTGGTGGTGAGATTAGGAATTCTTTTGAGCATTTTTTTGTTCTCTTATGCTGGGCCCGGTGGTTTCACCATAGCAAATAAGGTAAGCTTTCGTGTTTTTTTTCAACGGTTGAAATTGGTAAAGGGGAGGTTTTGTTGGGTTTGTTTTGTATTAGAAGGTAACTCTCTTAATAATATTATAAATTGGTGTAAGATAACATTGGGCCAAAGAGGGTGCAAGTTTGGAGTCACTTGTAAGCTCACTCGCACTTGTTCCTTATTGATTTATTTGTAATTCCCTATTATTAATAAACTATAGTACTATTGTCATAAACAAAACAAAAAAAGTTCATGAATTATAGAATGGGACTAGCTGGTTTCCCTTTTAAGAGTTTGATGAAGGATAAATTCACCTAAGAAGTTCTTGATCATCATTTTTCAGATATGAGATTTAAGATTGGGGGGCCAAAGTTATACCATTACGTAACAAGTGATAAAAATATCCTCCTCAATTGTTCCTCATTACTAATTATTAGCGATCCTAAACAAGGTACTCTTTATATGTAACCTTAAACAAAGCAGGATAGTTTTATTTAGAAGGGGCCTCCCAAATCAAATTACTAAAACACCCATGATTGTTCATCTTTCCAACCGTGAACAATTGTTGGAGAAATTTTTATTTTTTTCAAAGCACCTATGTGAAATGAAAGAAAAAGTGACCTCTTAAATGTTTTTTATTTTTTATTTTTTTGATCATTCGGCACCTTCAATAATTTCATAAAGGGTTTCAAGTTGTTAAATTATATTTTCCTTTTTATACAATATTTTATATTTTATTATTTTTATTTTTATTTTTATTTATTTATTAAAAATTCAATCAACGACAATTATTTGAACAAATATTTTAACTAGATCAAATCCCTCGTAAGCTCGACAATAAAATTCTAATAATTGATAACATTATTTTCAACGTGTGTGATGGATAAGAGAATAAAACATATATTATCTTATTTACATGTCCACAATGCAAAACAAACTTACCACAGTTCTTTATGCAAGCTGAAAAGCCCCTAATCCAAAATCTAACAAAGTAATTCAAAACCCTAACAAAAAAAACTAGCAATGTGTGTGACACATATATTCCCAAAAAATAAAAATTTCTAAAAACATATTTTTCTCTATTTACGAATACCCCTAAAATTTGCGGAATTTTCAAACCCTAGAAGCTCCCTTCAAGGCCTTCTTCAACTCCTCCTCCACACCATCCTCACCCAATTTTCCGGAGACCATAACTCCATTTTCCGATGCCTTTTTCGCTTGAAAATGCCTCGCGCCCTTCTTCCCCTCATCTCTGTACCCGCCGGAATCCATTTTCCAGCCAAAACTGCCATGTTTCCCAGCGATCACCTCAGCCCTAATGTCCTCCACCGCCTTCTTCAACGACCTATTCTCCAACTTAAGAGCCTCGAGCTCCTGCATAACCAGCCCACGAATCTGGTTTTCCGGTAAAAACTCCCGCGAAATTTTGGCCCGGAGATCACCATCTTCCTTCTTCTTTTCTTCCCTCTCTACATGCTCGATCCCTACCTTGTTCAGAGTTATGCAGGGCACGTTTCTGAGAGCAATCGATGAATTTTCCATTAAATTTGATGGAAGCTTCACACCCCACCTGACATTTATCACTGCGTTTCTCCTCAAAGGAAGGGAGCTCCTCACTCCAAGCTCCACGCCAGAGAACAACTCGCTGATCGGAAAAATCGCCGGAAAAGTCACTTTCCGGAGAGAATCCGGCGAATCTAGCGTGTAGGAGCCGTTAGCTTTGGGCGTCTCTTGGTTTCCAGAAGAGTCCTCGACCATTTTCCGGGCGAATTCCGGCGAGTAGTTGCAGTTCAAAACCAGAGGCGACCTCGACGATGTTTTGCTGAAAAAATCGCCGATCTGAGGATTAAACCGCAAAAAGAAGGAAGGGGCGCCATTCGTAAGAAGATTCAACTCGGCGCTCATTGCCATGGGCGAATTAATCGGCGATCCCCAAGCTCCGATCCCCGTTCTCATAACTAAGCTAAAGGGCTTCCATGAATCGTTCGGTTTATAGACGAACTTCACCACGGGACCGGCCGAGTTAGACGTGCCGAGTTGGAGGGAGAGCTCCTTTGAATCGCCCGCCGAAAAACCAGACGAGAACGGAAACCCTAGAATGCTCAAGGGGATCTTTCCTCGAACCAGGGGCTTCTGATCTTCTCTGAACTTGACGGAGGCCTTCATTTTCCAGCCGGAAAAACTTTCCGGTGAGTTTTAGGGTGAGGGTTTCGAGATTCAAAAGAGGGCCAACGCCATGAAAGCACAGGATTGAAGCTTTAAAAGGGGGTTTTAGAAGGGGGCTGAGCCAAATTTGGAAGACATAGGTGTAGCTTGAAATTTAGATACAGATAACCTAGCCTAGTGTTTCGCTAAATTTAGCGGGACTACTAAATTTAGGGGTTTTCCATCGTTTCGAGCGATTGAATCTTGGGTTTATAGTTTCAGGCACCGAGGAGTTTAGGGCTTAAATTTGGAGTAGATGACGTGGAAAGTCCCTTTCTTTGAGCGGAAAGACTGGATTCACCTTTTTACATCCATTTTGGAAAAGGAAAAAGTTTATAGAAGTGCACGGCTCTGAACAATCAAATTAGTGCACGCCTCAAAATTAATTTTTATTAAAAGAGGTTGTTTTGATGCCCAAATTGATCATCTCGACTTAAAAGATGTATTGATAAGATAGAAAAAAATGGATCTCAAGATTTAGAAATAGTGCATCTTATAATACATTTTTGAACCATCAATTTTCAAGTCTCCATAGATATGTTCGATCTACTCTACTTTTGAAGCTTTAAATTTTATGATTGGAAATGAAAATAAATTTTCAAGCTATCACAAAGATTTTCAGTTTTGAAACTACATTTCTCGATACTATTTGAAGGTGCGTCTTACTTTGATTGCCTTGTACAAATGGAACCCTTTGGTAAATGGTTTGATAGAGCTGTATGGTTATTAAAATAAGTAAAACTTCACCTCATAACTCATCAAAAATTACAATTCAAGCATTGGGAAACCTATAAATCGATCATCTCGGCTTGAATACTTTGGTTGTGAAAAAAAATTAGGATTTTAACCTCTAAAAATAGTATCTATTATAATAAATTATCTAGACTATCCATTAAAAATAAATGTTTACATATCCGAAAGATCGCTACTACTATTTGAGTTTCAAATCTTATTATCGTCGTTGAAAATTGATTTTAGATCCATTTTCGTTGCCAAAATTGCTTTTTAGATTAGGATTTGAGGTGAGGCTTTATTATGTTTTCATAAAGCCTAGGCATTACAGAAGCTCCATCCAAAATTACGGTTGTTTGAATATATATAGTATGCAGTGAGGGCCCATGTTACTGAATGTATGTGCCATGAGGGCCATGCTATTGAATGAGACAAGTGAAGATTGAAACATGAACAAATGAAAACTTTGGCTTTTTGTTTTTGGGGACAATCGTAGAGGCTTCATTCGATTTTGAATTTTAATGGGCCAAATTTAGCTGCAGATTGACGTAGAGTAGGACAAAAATTGGAGCGTTTTAGTTGAGTTTTGAAATTTGAAAATGGTTTGGTGGGCCCATATATTTTAAAATATGGCCATTCGAGCTCCGGATTGTTGATTTAGAGGACAATTGATCAAGTTAAAGCCAGCTTTGGGATTCTATGGGTATTTGGTTTGGTTCCCTAAACCTTCTTTTTATATTTTTTTTTCTTTTTCTTAGGCTTTTCTAATGTTTTTTTAGATTCTTTTAATTCCCCACTCCATATCCCTATTTTAATTTTTATTTTTAATATATTTTTTATATCATCAATTCAGACCGATCCAACAATATGACATATATCTATGGTTACGATCCACCCATCAATCCAAGTTTTAAAACACTAGGCAGGACAAAGACCAAAAAGCCATTTAGGTCAAAATTTAAGTAACTTTTAAGGCCATTTAGCCAGTAAGGTCACGTTTGACTGGTGGAACTTTTGGATAGAGGAAGAACCTAGTTCCACCAACTTTGCATTCCAATTTTTTTTTTTTTTCTTTTGACAAGACTACACACTCCAGTTTTTGTTATAAGGGAACTTGGGTACAATTATCATTATTGTGAAACATTGTTAATAATTTATTTTTTTTCGGTTCTTTTTTGTTAGGTAATTATAAGAATTTTATTGGAAAGTTATAGAATGTTCTTGGCCGTGGATAAATATAAATGGGTGCAGTTGGTATACGGATGCATCCGTAGCTATAGAGGTAAGGTGCACCTTCAAATTTTATCATGGTATATAATTTTGATGCAAAATATTCTTAGGATTATCTCAAAATCTATTTTTATATCTAATTATAAAATTTTAAATTTTAAAAATGGTTAAAATCAAGTAGACCTATAAATATATGGAAATCTTGAAAATGGACGGTGTAGATGATATGTTGTAAAATGCACTATTTCTGAGGCTTAAAATCTTTTTATTTTTCATGGTCATACATCTCGATGTCGAGATGATGAATCAAAGGGTTTTTCAACATCAAAACTATCTTTTTCAATAGATTTTTGAGGTGTATATGTAGTTCTACATTATAAGGTTGCATCCTTATATAAACTTTTTCCAATATAAATTCCATGTAGATGCTTTTTTAATTCAAGACTTTATAATTTGTCCCTATTGAGATATTCAAATTAAAAATAGAATAAGTTTTAAGCCTCTTTAATTTAAAATTTAGATGACAGCTTTTCACGGTAGTTTTTAGGTAACAATGATTTTAGTTTTTAAAATTTTAAATTATAGATTGTATTTAAAGTTTTTCAAAAGGGTGTGGTTTCTATAAGGTTGCAACTTTAAACAATCCAATTAAGGCGCACCTCCAAATTTTATCACAACAAGTAATTTTGGTGAAAAGAATTCTTAGGATTATCTCAAAATCTATTTTCATATCTAATAATAAAATTTTAAACCCCAAAAAAAGTTAAAATCAAGTAGATCTATAAATATATGAAAATGTTGAAAATGGATGGCCTAGATAATGTATTGCAAGATGCACTATTTCTGGGATTCAAAAAAAAAAAAAAATTCATATTCATACATCTCGATGTCGAGATTATCAATTAGAGGTTTTCCAACATTAAAGCAACATTTTCCGATGGATTTTTGAGATGCATCTGTAATTCTACATTTTAAGGTTGCAACCTTATATAAACTTTTCCCTTTTCAAAATGATGTAACTTTGTTACTTTTTACATAAAGGGGTGAGGTTTGT